CCTGCCACGTGTGGTGTCTCCAACCCGATAGGTAAGGTAAGGTTGGAGAGGCCTGGGAACTATTGCTGGAATAGAACCCCGAATGTGAGTGGTGTGGTCCAGGGTGGGTGTCAGCAGGCCCATGCGGACCTTCTCTCCGGAGCTGCCCTGCTTTGAGTAGGTTTGGGGACCCATCTCCCTGCTTTGGAGAGCTGGCATTCGAAGGGCTTCCTAAGTGCACGGCAAGGCTGGGTGTTACAGGCTCTGAAGCCCTGCTAGAGATTCTGTAGGGAACGGGCTTCCCATGAGGAGGAGGACTTTCTGGAGTCTTGATGCGAAGGGTCCGCAGACCTCTGGAGCCTGGTTCCTGTGGTCTAGCCTCTGGCCGTAGATGTCCCAGGCTGGCCGTCCTTCAGCACTCTCGTGCCCCCTTTTCCTTCTGGCCTGCTTTCATACCCCAGGCTTTAAAGACCCCAGGACGTGTTTATGCTTCCTCATCACGTCCCCCATGAAATTCACTGGAGAGCCAGCTCAGAGCCCACCACGCACGGTGCCAGTCTTGTCAGCGCCTGAACGATGCTCTTGTGAGGGGTGTGCACACTCATTCCGGGTCAGCCCTCCAGCTGGCAGTGCATAGAGGCTAACGGGAAAGTGTATCTTGCTTTTGTCACTGAGGAGATCTTTGGGGTCGAGGACAGAGTGGGGTTGACATGTGGCTGCATGTGGTGAAGGTCAAGCCCGAACTCCACCCTTGTCTCACCTGCAGGCTTTAAGGAGCTTTAAGCTGAGCGTCACTGTGGACCCCAAATACCATCCCAAAATTATTGGGAGGAAAGGGGCAGTGATTACTCAGATCCGCTTGGAACATGACGTGAACATCCAGTTTCCCGATAAGGATGACGGGAACCAGGTAAGAATGCCTGCTTGGGTCAGACTCTGTGGCTGGAACGCTTTGGGGCAGGTGGACTCTCGTACCCTCACCCTGACCTGGGAGCCGTGAGCAGGCAAGCGTAGGGCCTGCCCAGGTGGGCGGGGAGGGTGGAGCGCAGAGGGGCAGGTCTCTGAGGGTCTGAGTTTGCCTTGGGCGTCGGGGCCCCATCTCGGTCTGTGCCAGCTGGGCGAGGTCTCCCTGTGCTTGGCTGCCGCGCGAGTGCGGAACATTTCTCCCACGCCCGCCTGGTTGTTCGTGGTAGGCAAGCTTTGGCTCCGGCTGAGTCCTTCTTCGCATCTGTACCCACAGGTGCGGTCCTTCAGAGGGCACCCTCCCCCTGCCTATCACACCCCAGCCCGTCTTCCTCTCCGCTCCCATCAGGGCCCCCTTCCAGCATAGCACTGCCCACTGTGGGAGCCTTGGTCTCTGCCTGCATCTCTGGCCATGGTACACAGCCAGGCACCCAGAAATGGTTCTCTAGAACCTTCTGGTCAGCAAATCCCAACATGCCTCTGCAGACTCTGGCCTTTTCAGCCCCGTGTTCCCGTGCTGTGGCAGACTGCCTGTTTCTGCACCTTCCTCCTCTGCTCAGCCCAAGTCTATAAGCCACGCACTTAACCTGAGTTCAGAAAGGCAGGCAGGCCTGCAGGGCTCCCTCTGGAGCCCCCACCTCTCCTCTGCGCCTCCTGCCTGGTCCTGACCTTCCCTGGGTGCATCCTTCTGTTCCCGCTGTGTTTCTAACAAACATGTTTATGCTCCTGATCTTTCTTACGCTAATTTGTGATTTTTGTTCTGTTTCAGTGAGTTCTATGCCCAACGTGGGGCTTGAACTCATGACCCTGAGGTCAAGAGTTGCCTGCTCTGCTGACTGAGCCAGCCAGGCGTCCCTTTAACTTTAACTTTTGATGTTGAATCCTGAGAATTGAGCTCCTCTAAACTCCGCACCTTCACTACCTTCTATTTTCTTTAATTTTCCCAAGGAAACGTGACTTTTTTAGTCATTGTTTAGGGTTCAAACCACTCGGGCTAGTGTTTCAGAGCCAAGTAGGATTGGGTGGCCATGTGATTTTGATATGCAGCATTTTCCTGTGAGAATTATGCTTCCGTTTGCAGTCTGTTCTGTGTCTGCATTTGGCACAGCGCTCGCGGCTGCTGGCGGGTTCTGGACTCCGCCAGGCAGGTTCTAGGCACAGCCCGCCGCCCCCCACCCCTCCACTGCCACCGTGGGGCCTGCTGCTGCTCTGCTACCGCCTGGCTCATTCTGGCCTCTTTCTCTTCTGGGTAGATCTCGAAGTGTCCGCTCCTTTGTTTCCAGGTGTTTTTGTTCTCTGGTCCTTTTCTGTTGTTCCATTCTTTTGTGGGTGTAACTTTTCCTTTGTCTTAAAGAATATAGCTTACGTGTGTGATTTTTTTCTTCTTTTTTGTTGTCGTTTCGCTTTGAGTCCTGTGTTGGCTCTGCTCGCACTGTGCATGCGTGGCGCTGTCACCCGTCCACGTGTGCTGTGGGAGGGAAGTCCTGCGCAGGGGCGTGCTGGGGCTGTGCAGTGCAGCCGCAGTGTCCCGCCCCTTCTCTCCAGGCGGGTCTGTCTCCAGCGAGACGCCTCCAGATGCAGGGCCCGAGGTGACCTTCCCCGTGCCCTGTGTGGTCTCTGACGCAGCACCCTCCTCGCCTGCAGCCATCTCTGTGGCCACGTGTCCTTTCTTTTCCCGTACACGTCTGGGGGGAGGTGGGGACGCAGGAGCTAATGGGCGTCATTGACCTGTTTTAAATCAGCTTATGGCGGTCTCCCCCATCTTCTTTCTCTCCTGAGCGGGTCAGTGTTTCCCCTCAAGCTGAGGTCTGCCTCACTCCGCCAGCACTGCCTCTTGCCGCCTCGTGGAGCCACATCTGCTGGCTTGAGGCTCCCAGCCTGGGGTCTCTAGGGGCATCCCCTCTTCTGACTGCGCTCTCCTTTCTTAGCCCCAGGACCAAATAACCATCACAGGGTATGAAAAGAATACAGAAGCCGCCCGGGACGCTATATTGAAAATCGTGGGTGAGCTTGAACAGATGGTTTCTGAGGACGTCCCGCTGGACCACCGTGTTCACGCCCGCATCATTGGTGCCCGTGGAAAAGCCATCCGCAAAATAATGGATGAATTCAAGGTGGGTCCCCAGCCCCACCACGAAGGGGGGTGTGTGGTCCCACGCTGTCGGGGGAGTGAGTGCCTGGGACCACAGGTCTCCTGCCTCGGCTGCTGACCGCCCTTGGGGTCTGGAACGGGAGACTTCTGAGGCGCTGGTGCCCGTCCCTGAGTTGGTGAGGTCATGTGGAGGTCCCAGCTGCGTATACGCGACACCGTCGGTCAGCGTCCCACACTGGCCTGGAGGAGACGGCATTCCCTCGGTGCGGCACGGTCCTGTACTGTCGTGATGTGTTAGCTCTGACATACAGGACCTTGGCTCCTGAACACAAGGTTAATTTGGGAAAACTTCCCTAGAGGTCCACCATTCTCAGCCACACATGACCATGACCCTTTGGTCCAGAGACTCCAGATGGAGTGTCCTCAGACACCTCAGCGGCCGCATGTGCTGTCTTTCCAGGTGGACATTCGTTTCCCGCAGAGTGGGGCCCCAGATCCCAACTGCGTCACTGTGACGGGGCTCCCAGAGAACGTGGAGGAGGCCATTGACCACATTCTCAACCTAGAGGAGGAATATGTGAGTCATGGGTGGGCAGCAGGCCTGTGCCTGGGGCACCCTGCCTGCCACTAACCGGCCCGGGGCAGCAGCAAGGCCACGTATGTGCGTCCGCTCCCAGAGGCACGCCGGTTGCAGGGTGTCCCCCTAAGCGAGCCCTAAACACTTGAGACAAGGCAAGCGTGGTCGTCGTGTGTGCCTGCTGCAGACTGACGCCCCCACCTGTGCCCACAGCTGGCTGACGTGGTCGACAGCGAGGCGTTGCAGGTGTACATGAAGCCGCCAGCCCACGAGGAGTCCAAGGCGCCATCCAAGGGCTTTGTGGTACGGGACGCTCCCTGGACCGCCAGCAGCAGCGAGAAGGTCAGACACTGTTAGGCCCGCCGTTGGAGGTGGGGGCGCCCCCGGCACTCGCCTCTCGCTGGGAAGCGGCTCACGCGGGACCTCTTATTGAGGCTGTGCCCTCTCCCCCCTACAGGCTCCTGACATGAGCAGCTCCGAAGAATTTCCCAGTTTTGGGGCTCAGGTGGCTCCCAAGACCCTGCCATGGGGCCCCAAGCGATAATGATCAAAAAGCAGAAATCTCTCCAGCCTGCTGACCCAAACCCCACCAACACATGGTTTGTCTCAATCTGACCCGGCGGCTGGAGCCTCTATAAATTGTTGACGCTTCCCCCTCCCCGAGGTCTCGCAGTGAAGCCAGGCGCGCCAGCACCCCGCGTGCGCTCAGGATCTGCTCCCTGACACCTTCGCTCTGGGACGGCTCTCCGCTGTCGTGAACACTAACCGAGGTAATTGGACATTTCCCCGTAAGCGTCCTGGCTCATCCAGCATGTCCGTAAGGCTCTGGCCTCCGCTAGGAGAGCTCCACAGCTGTGGCGGAGTCTACTTCCTGTGTCATGACCTCAGGAAATAAATTTCCTTGACTTTATAAAAGCCAAAATGTTTGCCCTCTTCCTTTCCCACCTCCTTTCCTCCCTTTGCCTGCCATCCAGACCCTCCTTCCAGAATGCAGTCCGCCTTCCAGCTGCCAAAAGCCCACTTGGCCCAGACCACAGGGTGGTGAGGGAGACCCGGTTTGCACACTGGGAGTACCTGGGCCCAAAGGAGAGCCGTGGTGGAGCCAGAGGGGACCGAGAGGCAGCAGGGTGACTGGGTTCTTGGGCTGTCTTGGCCTCACATGTGTCAGGGTCCGAAAGCACCCAAGCGTCTCCGCCCCCAAGCGTGGTGAGCAGACCCCAAAGGCAGGGCCGCGTGTCTCCGTCTGGGCCGGCCGTGGCTGTCGTGGCGGCCTGGTGTGGCCTGAGAGACGTGGGGACAGGGAGAGGGGCGGCCCGCAGAGTGGCAGTAGAGACTAGCCGCTCCTCTGTGGCCCCCTCGCCCCAGGCCAGGTGTCCGGCGTCCTCCTTTCTACCTCAGAGCCAGTGTGGCTGCTCTCGTGCTTAGGGTGGTGCCACCCTGGCGCTCAGCCTCTCGGCGTAGATGTTTCTGGTGGTGGCGTGTCTGCTGCAGCCCTGGGGGCGGGAAGCCGGTGCTGGGGCTCAGCCAGGCTGTCCTCTGACGCACGCCGGGATGCTGCGTGTGAGCCCCCGGGAGCTGTCTCAGGCAGGCATCGTGGTCCTGGGGCAGAGAGAGGTGGTCGCTTGGCCTGGACCGGAGGACCCGGTGCTGGTGAGGGAGGGTCCGCTCTTTCTCAGGTGTGTGCTGGGTGACTGTGGGTGTCGGACCACGGGCCTTGGCCCGACCACAACGTGCCCTGCCCCCCAGCGGACTGTTGAAGGTCAGCTCTGGAGAGGAGAGGTGGCCCCAGGGCGGTACAGAGGCGCCCGTGTGTCGCATCGTGAGGGAACGAGGATGGCCCTTTGTGTCGGCCCCCTGGCCTCCCCATCTCTGCCTCTGCCCGCACGGAGGTGATGGGGCCCTGTCGGGTCACCCCACCTGGGATACTGGAGTTCCTGGGGGCCAGCTCGTGTCTGGCGCACACCCTGCGCCGCCCCTGCACCCCCGTCCTTCACTCTCCACTCGGTAGCTCAAGCCCGGTGATCTCCAGACTCTGAAATTCTAAGTAGACTGAGAATTGCTCAACCCAAGTGTACCTTCGGCTGCCCCTGCCAGCTTTCCGTCTGCCACGGCAGCCTCCAGCGTGCCCATCTGTGGGAGCGAGCCACGGGGGTAGGAGAGAGCACCCACCTCAGCAGGCGGCCTGGGTGTCCCCAGAGTAGGCCTGTGAGGAGACGGAGGAAGGGGAGGCACCCCCTCCCCTCTCGGGGAGCCTGATTGGGAAGGGGGGGCCCCTCCGCCTCTCCACCTGCATGAGGTTTGGAGCCTTTCCCGTGGGCTGTCTTGTTTCCCTCTGCCTGCCCCTCTGGCTCCCTCGGCGTCTGCCCAGCCCTCTTTGCCCTTCATCTTTTCTATGGCATCCTTCGACGTCCCCCACCCTTCCCCAAACGTAAATTTTAAATTTTCACAAGTTTTTGCACATTTGCATTTATCACTAAATGTTGTAGATACGAATCCCCCCTTCCCCTGAACTGTGTTTGGGATCTTGCGTGCTCTGTTTTTGGTTGTTGTTGGTAAAGACTGTTGGTGGCCCTGCCCAGGCCTGGTCTCCTGTGGCCGCCCCTGCTGCTGGGGCAGCCCTGGGCAGGGTGGGGTGTGTGTGTCCATTTCCTTTGTTGAATGTCTTCCATATTATGTGTTTCCATAGCTATGATCCGTCCCTTGGCCTTAATTTTGGAATCTGGAGATTATATGCAAACATGTGTAAAGGCTTATGAATATGGATGACACTGGAATTTTATAAATTCTAAAATAAAACCCAAAACCAGATGTAGTGTGCTAGAACTCGTTTTATCACGCGGCATGCCGGTTCTCGGTCCTGTGGAACCAGGGGTGTCTTCAACATGCTTTTGAGTGGTAACTAGAGACCCATAGATGGTTCTAGTCTCCAGTGCGACTCTCCCGGTGGCACATGGGAGATAGAGCTGTGCCCCGCGTGCAGAGAGCTGGGGGTGGGGAGGGCCCTGAGCCACAGTGTCGGGGCCAGCATCTCTGGTGCGGGGCCACCTGCCCTGGGGGCTGGGAGGGAGGTGGCAGGGAAGCTCCAGGTGCTGCTGCGGGCAGGGGGTTGGGGGGCGGCAGCCGGCACCTGAGGAGCTAGGGCTCATGAGCAGAGGCCCAGGGTCACCGAGGGCACCACAGCTCTGGGCCAAGAAGGGGCAGAAGGTGGGCTGTGGCCTCTGAGGGCAGTGAGCCTTTGACATCTCCAGGGCAGCAGAGTCCCTCACCTCCAGATGGGACTGCTGGCTTGGGGTGACCCCCGTGACCTCAGAGAGAAGGGACTCGTGAGGCCTGGCCACCTCCTGGCAATGTAGGTTGTGGGCCCAAACTCCTCTCTGAGCTCTGGGAGTAGTTGTCCTTTGCTCCGTTTGTTCCAGAGAGAGCCTGTCTCCAGGGAAGGGTACAGGAGGGGTGATCGGACTGGCTACCCTGTCACAGGCCAGGGTAGAGTGCTCGGCCGGGCACCGTGCCGCCGGTGGATGAGGGAAGGTAAAGCGGGGGGCAGAAGGGCTCACCTCATTCTCAGCCAGCGCCTGCTTGGCGAGGTAGTACTCTCGCTTCACCTTGACCTCCACGGACTCAGGAATGTCGGGTACCAGGAGGTCGAGGATCCGGCCGATGGAGAACACCACGTGCTGGGGGCAGGACATAGTACGAGCAGTGGGAGGGCGCCCACCCCTTGGTAAGACAGACGCCTGCGGTGGCCTTAATGGGGCCAGGGGTGCGCACCTGCTCCCCAGGTGTGAGCTGAGCTGGAGAGGAGCAGGTGCAGGAAAGGAAAGCCCTGGAGGCAGAAGCCACCGTTGCGGAGACCTGCCCCAGGTCTCACGGCCTGTGGAGCCTCCCCGGACCCAGCAGTGCCCAGAGCAGTTCAGTATCCACACAATCTAGGCCAGGCAGGGGTTGACAAAGTTTTCAAGATGGGGAAACGACAGTGCACAGGAGAGTGGCCCTGTGACCGGGTAGTAGCTTGGTCGCACACCTTCCCACCCCTACCCCCACCAACACACACACACACACACACACACACACACACACACCCCACATGGTGGGATTAGGCAAAGCATCCTGGGGGAGGGGTGGGTGTCCTGCTAAGGCCAAGAGAGCCAGTCGGGAGAGCCAACGGGAACTAGGAACTTGGCTAACCTCAAACACTATGACGAATGCCAGGCGGATGGCCAGAAGATTCCAGTATGTTGGAGAATACTGCCCATCATCTTCCCTGAAAGCCTGATACCTGCAGGAGACACGGAACTCAGTGTGGGGAGCTGGGGCTGAGGGTCAGCTGAGGAGCTGGCAGGGGCCCTTCTTACTTCTCTACTTTTTCCTTCCCTGATCGTGTAGTTCTGGGCCTGGCTTGCCTGAGAGTGCCTGAAGGAGGGAATATTCCTAAACGGTACTAAACAGTGCCCTCGGCTTTAATTCTTGGGGTTCCGGGGTTCCAAAGGGCTGGATGGGCTGGATTGTCCCATTCCCTACAGCCTGCACTGGGCCCCAGAGTGGCAAACGCCCTGTTAATGTCATGGATGTGATAATATGATGAATCTGCTTCGGCCGGTGATGTCAACCTCGTCAACACTGTGAAAACCTGCCATTCGGAGATCAGTCAGCTGTGCCCAGACACCTGTCCAGCATGGCTCTCTCCCTGACTAGAATAAGCTGATGTTAAGTTTTGCTTGCTATTTCCAATTTGTCATCTTGTCATCCTTTGACAACTTCCTGTATTTCCGGTTAGATTCGGCATTCCATTTTGACATAAACTGCCATGCTACCCTCCATGGAAAGCAGTATTAGGGCCAACTTTGTAGAAAAAGAAACAATTCTTGAACATTAAAAAAAGTTACTGAAGGAAAAATCCTCAATGCCTGTAATAAACTCTAAGTGGCCTAACTAGGCACAACAGAAGAAAGACTGGGAACTTGGAGACGATTATATGAAATCACCCTGAACGCAACACAGAGAGCCAAAAGATTGCAAAATGTATCCGTGACCTTGGGACGTGAAGGGAGAACAGAGGTGCTCCAACATAGCAGTTCCAGAAGCGGAGAATGAATGCAAAGAACAGTTAGAGCAGCTCTGTTTGAAAAATGGAGAGGTTTCCATGGGGCGCCTGGGTGGCTCAGTCGGTTAAATGTCTGATCAGCTCAGGTCATGGTTTCGCGGTTCATGAGTTCGGATCCCGCACTGGGCTCTGTGCTGACAGCTCGGAGCCTGGAGCCTGCTCCGGATCCTGTGTCTCCCTCTCTCTCTGTCCCTCCACTGCTCACACTTTTCTCTCTCTCAAAAATAAACATTAAAAGAAGAAAAAAAAAGAAACCGAAATGGAGAGGTTTCCAGAACTAAAGAAAGACATCACCTTTCAGATCAAAAGCACATAACTGATTTCCAGTGAGAAACTTTTATCAACGTTTATTTATTTTTGGGACAGAGAGAGATAGAGCATGAACGGGGGAGGGGCAGAGAGAGAGGGAGACACAGAATCGGAAACAGGCTCCAGGCTCCGAGCCATCAGCCCAGAGCCCGACGCGGGGCTCGAACTCACGGACCGCGAGATCGTGACCTGGCTGAAGTCAGACGCTTAACTGACTGCGCCACCCAGGCGCCCCACCAGTGAGAAACTTTTAAACTCTACGATGGCAGAGACCTATTAGTAACACAAGTCGAGGAAAACCTTCTATGCTTACCAGAGCTTTCCACAAGAGAGTAATAGTCCCAAAGGAAGACAGCTCAATGGAGAACTGTATACCTGCTATTGGAAGGACAAAGAGATATTTTCCGATATAAAAGGCAGCATACAAAAGGGTTTGCCAACTACACACCATTCCCGAAAGCGCTAGTCAAGGATGTACTTCTGCAAGAATGAAAGTGAATTCAGAGGGAAGGCAAAGCGTTAAGAAACCCCTGTAGCCACAGAAGCTACTAAAACATACCATATGGACATGATTAACAAATGACTAGAAATGTCTTTATTTTTTCATACTAAAACTCTGTATAACAATAATAAGATGGAGTGGTGGGTGCTAAATAGGCGATAAAGCATGTGAATTCCTTTAGTCTGATAGGAAAGTTTATATAGTTAAGAATGTATGCTAAAAATGTAAGGATAATCTCTCAAAGAATAAAAATATATGCCATCCGTTCTAAATGAGCATAAAGAAAAAAAATTCTAGTCATCCACCAGAAAGCAAGAGAAGAAGAAAAAGGAAAAAAAAATGAATGGAAAAAGTAAGTATCCACTAAGAAGAGATCACAAATGAGAACTTATGCAACTAAGAACCTCACGATACATAAAGCAAGATGTGACAGAACCACATGAAGAAACTGATAACTCTACATTCCTGGAAAGATTTTCACTTCGCCTGTATCAGAATCTGATAACGCAGCGAGGTGGGGGGGGGGGGGGGGGGCTGCAGAAAAAATCCAAACAAGAAAGTTAAGAAGCCTTCCCTCAGAGGTTTATAGACAGCCTTACTTTAAAACAGATAATACAAGATTCAAGTTCACTTGAACCAGCAAAAATCAAGTGAGCAGATCATAAAGGAAAACAACACATGTTAAGAGATTTGTATCATATGGACTCTTCAGGTTCTCTGATCACCAAGCAGTTAAACCAGAATGGTTTTTTATAAGTAGAAGAACAACAACAACAACAAAAAACCCTCCACACTGGGGAACTTTTCTAAATAATTCATAGATAAGTAGGGGGATAACAACTGCAGTTAAGAGACTCAGAAGTGAAGGGACAGGTATTATCAACGAAATGAGGCTTTTAAGGAGTAGGGTCAAGTAAACTTATAAATACGTTTATTAAAACGAAAGACAAAAAAGGGCGCTTGGGTGGCTTAGCTGCTTAAGCGTCCGACTTCAGCTCAGGTCATGATCTCACGGTTCGTGGGTTCAAGCCCCGCATCAGGCTCT